ACTTTTTGATATTTTTTTGATTTTTTTCTGAGTTTTTCCTGATTTTTGGCGGTGTACACTGATTTTTTTTAGTGCAGGCGCAAGGCGGGACTCACTGGACGGCCGCGGACTCGGACTGGTAGCCGTCGTACTCCGTGACCTTCCGGAGGTCGTGCAGGACGAACCGGGGACAGCCGCAGACCAGCATCTCCACCTCCTCGGGCCGCAGCATCTGCGGGCAAAAGATGTAGTGGTTAGGGTCAGCGAGCCCCCGGGAGGCGGGCCGCGCAGAGGCACCGCGGCGCGGCGGGCCAGCCCACCCTCCAGGCGCTCCGGGTGACCAGGTGTCCGACTGCTCCAGCCACGCAAACAAAACAACTGTTCCTTACGATGAGCGCGTTGGAGGCGCACACCGAGTGGAAGCCGAGGTAGAAGGAGCGGAACTCGTTGTAGATGGCGGTGTTGAGCATCCAGTCTAGGTACAGCCGGACGTACTCCTTGCGGTTCTGGTTCGTCACGGCGATGTCCTCGCCGCCTTGCTTGAGCGGGAAGGTCTTGACGGCGCCAAACTCCTCGATGGAGGCCTGGAAGGTGAGGCACATGTCCTGCTCCACGTCACCTTGGTAGGCGAGGAGCTCGCGCAGCCCGTGCGCCACGTCCGGCATGATCTGCGCCAGGTCGTCGAGGCTGGGGTTGCGCACGACTCCGAGGTGCAGGTCGGCGTGCGGGACCACGGGGGGTGAGAGCAGCTTCTGGTAGCAGACCGACGGGAAGCGCAGGTCCAGGATGTTGGCGTTGTACACGGCCAGGCCCATGAGCACGCCGATCAGGTTGTACTGCTGCAGGCTCTCCTCCTCCTCGGAGGCGGCCACCAGCCGCGCCACCACCGCGTCGTCGTCGTCCTGCACCAGCTCCGCCTCCACCGCGGCGCCCGCCACCGGCGAGGACGGCGCCGTGACTGCGCGCGACGCGGACTCCGCCGTATCCCATGTGCGCGCGCTGCTGGGTATCCTGCAAGATCGTAGAAGGACGCAGTGTAGTCGCCGTAGACCCGCGAGGCCACGCGGAGCCGCTTACTCACCTGAACCAGTAGCAGCGCGAGTGCGGGTGGTACACGAACATGCCCTTGTCGGGGTCGAAGATCTCGCGTACCAGCAGTTGGAACCACTCCTTGGTGAGCCCCCCCATGTCGAGTCCGGGCTCACCCGCGAAGGTCATCCGCAGCTTCTTCTTGAGCTCCTTGCGCTCCGAGGCCCGCTGTATCTGGAAGAGGTACCTCGGACTTGAGTGGCGGCCTCCTCCCTCCTCAAGTGCCCCCGACAGCTGCCCGCGCCCGCCTTACCTCCTTGAGCGAGTCCTCCACCAGGTGGCTGCGGCGCACGGTCATGTTGAGGAAGAAAATGTCTACCTGTGACACCTGCCTGGAGGCCTTGGTCTCCAGGCTCCGCCTCGCGTTGATCATCTGCTGCTGCTCCGAGTCCTGCAGCAGGCAAACACAGGCGCGGCAAAATTGAGGTCAGCCCGCCCCACACATACGAAGGGCCTCGGGCCTCCCAGGGGACCAGCATCCTGCCCACCTTGGTCAGGATCAGGCGCTTGGCGTTGATGCTCAGGATGAAGGGGTACTGGCAGTACGAGAAGTGGCTCGAGCACGGCGACGGGTCCTGCCACCGGAAGTAGTCGGCCGCCAGGTCGATGTGGTCCAGGGCCTCGTGGTACAGCTCCGAGAAGTGCAGCAGCGGCGGGCGGCAGCTGTTGTTGGCGGCGTCTGCAAGAAGCCAGAGCCGCGGTGACCTCCTCGTCCTCCTCGACCGGCCGAGCACAGCACGCGGTGTATACTCACTGATGAACGCCAGCATCCTGGCGGCCGTCGGGATCCACCACTTGATCTTGTTGGGCTCCGGAAGCGCGTGCGTCGGGTCCGCCGTGGGGAACTGGCGCAGCGACAGGAAGTGCATGAGGTTCCGCACCATGCTCCGCAGACGCGGCACCTCCAGGCTGCAACCGGACCCGGAAACCGGAAGAAATAAGCAGAGCTCCAAAAGTTTAAATTTGTAACCGAAAGTCGCGCATTAAAAATGTGCTTTTATAGAACCGGGAGTAAACATAATATGTGCAATTTTAAAACCAGAAGTCATCAGTAGAGGCTACTGCTTTAAAAGAGGGCACGGGTAGATAGACGACGGCGACCCTGACGCAGTGAATCACATACGTATTATTGTGTTATCTTACATCTTGAGCCAGTGCACGAGCATCTGGTGGTCGCTGGCGGGCAGGTGCACGATGCGGCGCAGCAGCTGGGCGAAGATGAGGCACGAGGACTGGTGTCCGAACATCGGGCACTGCACCAGGATGTACATGGCGCGCACCTCGTCCTTGCGCCGCAGCACCACCCGTACAAAACAAAAGCGGCTTCAGGGTGTCTCAGAAATAGACAACACACAGACAGTGCACAGGGAAAGCAAAGACTCGCTACAGACACGTCGAGTACGCGCTCGAGACATCGAGGATGTCTAAAAAGTGTCTAATTAAGAGTCGAATTTAGACATCCAGAAGCCGATGCGAGGCCAGCCGGGGGCCACACCCGAGACGGTAGGGAGCTACTGCCAAGGCAACCGGAAGACACCCGGGAGGCAACCGGGAGACACCTAGGAGGGACCCAGCAGACGCCCGAGAGACACTGCGGAGCCGTCCCGGAGCCACCGTAGAGACATCGCGAAGACACTACGGATTCCACGAAAAAGAAAATTGTACCCATGTGATGGAAGTTTGAAAATTCAGCTTCCCGCCGCGCCTTGCGACTGGCCTCGGTAATCGGACATCTGAGGCGATGTTTCGGTGAACCGGATCCGGTGGGAGTCGAACCTCCGACTGTGCGTTCCGCGCTCCGGTACGGTATCCACTTGGCCAGAGCGATCCGTTGATCGTCTTTACAATATGCACGAACGACAACTCAGCCAACATGCATCGATTCTCAGAGGTAGCGATTGCAGGCAGAAGCAGCGCGCTCGAGCGTCCCCCCACCAGGCGCCTCTGTGCGTGGCGCAGTGGTCTCCGTGCCTGGCGGCTGGATAGTAAGCGGAGGTTCGATCCCGGTCGGCGCCCAACCAGTTTTCCCTTGCACGGCGTCTTCTGACACCGTTCAAACTTAACATGAAGCGAGGAAATGGACTGTAGATACATAAGAGGCTACGGGAAAGGGAGACCACACTTTATTTCATTTTATCCGTTGATAGAGACTTGCTAATATGTGCGCTGAGACTCTATCTGTTCTCAACGGATCGCTCTGGCCAAGTGGATACCGTACCGGAGCGCGGAACGCACAGTCGGAGGTTCGACTCCCGCCGGGTCCGGTTCACCGAAACATCGCCTCAGAGGTCCGATTACCGTGGCCGGCTGAGGCCAGTCGCAAGTCGCGGCGGGAAGCTGAATTTTCAAACTTCCATCACATGGGTACGATTTTTTTTTCGTGGAATCCGTAGTGTCTTCGCGATGTCTCTACGGTGGCTCCGGGACGGCTCCGCAGTGTCTCTAGGGCGTCTGCTGGGTCCCTCCTAGGTGTCTCCCGGTTGCCTCCCGAGTGTCTTCCGGTTGCCTTGGCAGTAGCTCCCTACCGTCTCGGGTGTGGCCCCTGGCTGGCTTCGCATCGGCTTCTGGATGTCTAAATTCGACTCTTAATTAGACACTTTTTAGACATCCTCGATGTCTCGAGCGCGTATTGGACGTGTCTGTAGCGAGTCTTTGCTTTCCCTGTGCACTGTCTGTGTGTTGTCTATTTCTGAGACATTCTAGAGACACTCTGAAGCCGCTTTTTTTTGTACGGGCAGGTTCTCCTGGCAGATGGCGTTGATCATGGACTTGAGGACCGACTTGTGGATGCTGTTGGGCTGTGAGAGCACAGGGACCGTTACAGAGCGCCCCCGAGAGACGGCGAGCGCTTCCGGTAAGGTACTTCCGGTTCCACTCACCAGCTCCCGCAGCGCGTCGTACACGGCGTACAGGAAGTCCATCTTGAGGTCCGGGTCCACGAGCCTGGCGCCGTCCTGGTGCGGGTTCTCCTGCAACAGCGCACGGCGGACGTGACCAAAAGAGAGGACTGCGCGGCCGCGGCCTTGGCGCCGACCTCGAGGACGGCGGCGAATTATCGAGGCGCGCGGTCGCGATCGTTGTCGTGACTCGCGGCCCTCGAGACGCCGACACGACGTCACAGGCGGCGGCCGCCCCGGAGGGTGCGCCGCGCCGGTGCAAGCCTCGCAGGTCGCGTCCCTCCCAGGCTGCTGGTCAATAATGCACCACCGCGCCCTCGACGGCGAGGGTGTCCTGGTGCACGGCGGGGCCCCGGCGGCTTCAAAGGTCACCGGTGACGGTGAACACGGAAAAACGCGTTCCTCCGCGAGCGGCCGCGGGTGGGCGGCGAACTATCACCCTGCTCCGCCAGGCTCCGCCCTCCATCCTTACCTTGAACAGCGCGCAGAGCTCCACGTACGAGTCGAAGGTGCGCATGTAGAAGCGCTGCACGTCGGCGTACTCGTCGCTCTGCACGGCGCGCCGCACCTCGAGCCTGTGGCCGGGTTGGGTACGAAAACAAACAACGGGAGGTCGTGAGCTTCGGTAGGGTGTTTCACCCGGTTGAAACCTGATCCAATGGAGAAAAGAAATTGCTTCCTGGACTGTTTCCTCCCTCGCGCTCTATGGCTGACGCAGACGAACTCCTCGGACCCGTCCCGTCACTAGGGTAGTCGCGGACCTGGTGGTGGGTCGGTGAACTTCGTCCGCGCTGGCCACCAAGAGTCAACTAGGAAACAGTCCATGAAGCACTTCTGTTCTTCTTTGGATCCAAGTTTCAACTTGCTGAGATGCCCTTTCCTGCTTCCGCTTTTGTAAAGCGGAAGAAAGGTGTAAGCCGACTTCCCACCACGACGCCTCTCTCATCTGTCGCTTGTCACGGCCGTTCGGTGCGTGAGAATAAGGTTTACCCTGAAAATTCAGGTGACATAAAACTAATGTTCCAATGTCATTTGTCATTTTGGAGAGATGTACTTTCGAAGCACCAGACGGACGTCACAGATCAATGAAAGGTCATGGGGAAAAGTCGACTTATCCTCTTATGCCGTTTCATGCCACATTTAAAGGTTAAGCGTGAAACACGTTCAATAATAGCATGGCACAACAACGGTACACCATCATGTCTTTCTTTTGTTGTCCTGTGAGGTTGGGACCTCTTTTTTTAGACGGATATAATTATCGTTTAAATAGGGAGCGCGCTCGCGCAGACTTCGAGCTAAATTAATAATCGATTATTACTACGTCGGCCCCGTGGATAAATCGGGGAAGGGGGTACAGGGGGTG